AAATGTTCAAGGTTGAGCTCATTTTAACTACTTTATATACTGTTGGGTAGTTTAATCTACAGCAATGCATAGTATTCTATAAGATCATCATATATTTGTAGCGCCTCTGTCCTGTGAGAACCATGTATCTCTAAAACGTCAGCTTTTAATGAGCTCAGAAAAACAGCCCTGCTTTCAGCTCTGTAACAATGCATTTTACAGTTAATCCAAGAAGGTTTTTAAATAGTTTATTTAGCTTAAGAAGGAAGAGAATTTCCTCAACCGATAAAGAAACACTTCATCCTTTCGCCGGACAGGAATAGTACAAATAGTATAAAGTTGAATAAAATGGAAATGCTAAAGTAAATTACAAGTATCTCGAATTTATACTCAAGTACATTACTTAAGTAAAAGTACTTACATTCCACCACTCAAGATAACCCAGATTAGTTGTGTTCTCAGAGTTTTGAAAAGCTACTCAAGAGCCACAGAAGACTTTGTTCTAACAGGCACTGAGAAGGAACAATACTGTTAATGGAGGAGTTTTACAATATAATTTGATGATTTACAAACATGTATTTCAAATTAAACAGTGAATTTCCATACAAAATGTATGCTGACTAGATTAGCGTCACTGTAATACAGAATTCAACAGATATAAATGTTGTTCCTTTGGAAATGACCGTCTTCTGTTACAGTGATTGAATTACCAACTCATCACACAGGGATCTGATGTTTCTAATCTGCTGCCAGATCACAGCAACAGAAAATAAAACATGTAGCGCTTATGTGTGTGTATTTTATTATTTTTTTTACATGTGCTAATTTGAAGGCTATTGCTGTTTTCTGATTAAAACCACAATATGACAGTTTGCATGTAATTTAAAGGGTGTGAATTAAACAGGCTGAGATTTTGCCATATACACATATATCTACACACCCACCTACACACACGCATAGACATACAGTGGCATACACATAACGCTTATTTGCATTGGGTGATAACCGTCCTATCCAAACTTTATATTTATTCTATTTTATGTGTATTTGTTTAGTTATTTAACCAATTCATCCGACCATAGCGGCAATGCAGGAAGGACACCACTTTTCTTTAGCCAAAAAGACACAACAGTAGACGCTTGTGTGACAGATTGTGCCCAGTTTAACCCCAGAGCCCTGTCTGCTTGTTAGGGCTTTCATTTTCCGCCAGTGTCCCTTGAAGCATCTGTGCACACACACGTACACTGCAAACACACTATTACTATTATTAAACAACTATAACTGCACAGACACACACCTGCACACAATGTTCACTTGCCACCCAGACCATCAAATGTGCCATGAACGGAGAGAGTTTCATAATTATGGGCTGTTTACAAATACCTGCCCAACTATTTCTTTGGAAACATGGTTTTTTAATGAAAGCCCTGCCTCTCTATCCCGCCGGAAGAGAATAATACCTATCTTTACTGATTATGATTTAATGAAATACAAAATTGCCCCAGGTGCTGTTTGATTGACAGGTAGTCTTACAACATAGGAAAGCCTCCTTAAATGTATATAGGCCTCGCAGTACAATGTTAGCCTCTAATTGGCAATTTACCACCCGCTCAATAGTCAGGATTGCTTTCTCAGTGTCTGTGGAGGTATTAGCAGTAGTGTTTTTCAACATCCAGATTAATTTCTTAAAAGCCCGCCTTTAAAAAAGTGTTGGGCTTGCAAATAAAGGGATGTGATTTAAGGGGGGGAAAGTGCTCGTCTTGGAAGTATTGTGAAAGGGCGCCAAGGAAGGGATAGAGAGAGGTTGACGGAGAGAGAGAGAGAGAGAGGGGCCAGGAGCATTAAACTGGAGTGAAATAAATTTGCTTAGCAGGTACTTCTGTTGGAGTCGCCTCCACTGAAAGAGGAGATCAGTCTTGCCGGGTTCTGCATTGCCATGTCATCTAAATCCTTCTCTCCATTTTTTTTCATGAGCTTGGGAATCTGTCATTCACAGGCCATTCATTTTTTACGCACTTGCCATTAATAGATACTATAAATACTCTAATGTACATGGTTTATACATCCAGCCAATTCCAACTCCTCCACTGCCAATACTTAATGGGAAATAAAGCTGAAATGATTATTCCATTAATTCATTTGAGAGAAAATGAATCAACAACAATTTTAATAATGGATAAATCTTTTAAGTCATATATTGGTTGTAATCCACTGTGTAGTTCCAAAAGTGAATATTTGCCATTGTCCTTAATGTAGGTTTATGGTTTTGGATTCTGAGAGCCCGCCATGTTTCCTTATTTTCTGACATTTTATAGACCAGATAATTCATTAATTAACTAATTGAGAAACCACTCAATACACAGATTATTGAAAGTAATAGTTAGTTTTAGTCCTAGAGGTGGATTCCAATTTCATTCAACGCTGGTCCTATTTTAATAGAGATCAGGGCATGGTTAATTGGTTAATTCTTAAACAGTTTACAGATCAACTTTGTTCAACTTTGACCTACTGAAGTAGTTGTGCGCATGCAGGTTTCCTGTGCAATGAGGGATTCTTACTAAGATGTCAGGTGTGCTACCTTGCCACTTTACCTCCAAATAAATGCTTTATTTAATCTGCAACCTGTCTGATCGTCTGACCACTCATGCTCCTTGCCTCATTGTCCGACTTTGTTTTTGAAATCCAGCTATGTTCCCAGACCCTAGCAATTACTTAACTGATAGAAATCATGCCCAAAACTGTTAAATTAATACCCAGAGTTGTAATAAAGTGAATTTCCCTTGTGTGATTTCTCCTGCTTGTTCATGTTTCAAGTAGTGATTTTATCAGACTCTGCCCAGCTCCCTCTGGAGCCACAAAAGCCTTTATTGAACTTCCCCCACATATGCAGTCATACTCCCCAAGACCTGTAAACAGACTTTGATATTTAAAATTGTTGCCCTTTAATATTGATTATAAAATGACTACAATATGTTAGCCATGCATATCATATCAAGTTACCTTACCTGTTGAACAAGCGAAAATCCCTTTTACCGTGGCAGATTTTACTTTAGAGACTGTTGCATGATAAGGACTTGACTTAATTCTTGTGTTTGAAGTGCTATCATTTGTTATTATAATACCTTTCAGTGAACTTCTATTAGTTTTTATTCAGCTTGCAGACATATACAGCATGTGAAATGCCTGATCTGTCAATGCTAATGAGTTATTGCCAGTGATTCACTAGAGCTGCTTTTGAGGGTCGCCGATAGTAGACTACATCATGCCTGTGGCGAGTATACCTTTTCTGGCAATGGATGGAATTATTTATTGACATGATATTAAAAAATAGTACTGTACAAATTGAGTGTTAATTATTGATGACCAAATGTGTTTGTTAAATCCAACCTGTGTAAAGATGATATATGCCCTTTACTTATGTGTGTGTGTGTGTGTGTGTGTGTGTGTGTGTGTGCTCCTAAAACGCATAATTTGCTGTGACAATGTGGTCCAGCAAATGGCTTTAGCCACTTCTCATCCATCGCTGGTTGTTTTTTAGCAGTGGAGAAACTTTTTCACGTGTGCGGTAATTAAAAGAAGGGGGGATGTCGAAGTGGCGGTGAAAGTACACTGCGATATCCCCACTAAATTCTCCGTAATGGCGAGGTGAGTCAGTTGCCTTAATTAGTTTAGGCTTTGTTCTCCCTCTCTCTCGTAGAGTCATTAATGTCGACATGAACATTTTTCTCTCATTTGAATCGGTAAATAATGAAAGCGGAGTGACAGTTGGGGGGGGTGAGCTAGTCACAACTTTTTAAAGCAGCAAGAAGGCAGCAATTAACAAGATCTGACAACCCAGAGGGACACACAAACACACATTCAGGCATAAACAACACACACTCAAATACACTCAGTACAGACATACAGACCTACTGTTTGCAGACTTCAAACTTCATACAAGCATATTCATCGAATAGGCATTATGAAACTGAAATATTGTGTTGACATTGCGTAACACCTCTACATGTATTCACTAAGTTAATCACATTATAAATGTACATACATTTATATTCACATAATGACATGAAATGAAATTTAGAAATAAATGGTGCGAATAATACAGTGTTGGGAAGGCAGGGTATAATTACATCTATTATATTTGATAAGGCTCTTGCTACTACCAGACATTCCCACAACATGTGTACGTATGTTCCGATTGCTTATACTACTGCATACTTGGAGTAAATTTAAGTTGGCGACTTTTTTTTGGCGAAAAACAAAACTTATGAATAACTTTATAATATACCACTGATGGTTATTATTACTTGAAGTGAATGGAATATAATTCCAAACTCTCCTCCAATCTATATTCTGTTCATATTCCTTGAATACATGAACAAATTAACATGCAGTT